TGCGACACTCGCACGACGCTGTGACTCACCTCTGAGGGTGGCGGAAAGCTGTCGAGTGCAGGGCTGGAGAGAGGCCTGGGCTGGGGAAGAGCCCACAGATGCTGGCTGCTGCCAAGTAGGTGCCTGGTAAGCCATCCACCCTGCCGAGGGAGTTTGCTTACTTTTTGGGGAAGAGGTATCTCTCCGTGGCTTCCGCTGGAGGAAACCTGCACCCTGTGCTCCTCCTAAGCAGACTTTGAGGACAAAGCCAGCACACTGCCTGCAGGGTGGCGAGTCTGATGTCCCTCAGGAGAAAGGTGGGCTGTGTTGGTGGAGCACAGACCCTTCTGGCGTGGCCAGCCAGGGGGCCTGTAAATGCTAACCAACCTGAGATGCAGCACCTCTAAATTGCATATCACCTGAGGGATTCGTACTACTGGCTTTTAACAATTCAAAAACTGACACCAAACCACACTTCTGCCTAAAGGCAAGAGGTTTTAAGAACTTTCCCAGCACTCCATAGAATTAGCTTCTCACCCAGATCTCCCTCCAAGCCCTTCCCCAGCTCACTGAGGAGAGCTGAGGGCCACAGCCCCTCCAGAAGACACTCTCCCCCTGGCACCACTCGGGGCTGCTGGAGTGACCCTGCCCGTGGCCCTTCCTCTGAGCCCTGCGGAACAAGAGCTGAAGCAGTCCAGACATCCCTGCCCCCACTTGGGCCAAGGTGAGCAGCAGCCGCAGAAGCGCCCTGCCAGGCAGGGTCACAGAAAAACGCCTCCTGTGGGCCGTTTCAGGCTTCTCAGAAGTGAGCGGCCCTTGGATCCTCGGTTCCCACAGGGCAAAGGGACTCACGAACCCCAGGGTGCAAAGCTGAGTTCCTAAGTCAGGCTTTACCAGGCTCCGGGCGGGAGGGACCTCTGCTGAGGAGCTGTCCTGTTCATGGCAGGGGCAGCAGCACCCCGCCTCTCCCTTCCAGTTGTGACAACAAAACCGATGTCTCCAGGCATTGCCAAATGACCCCCGGGGCCAAATCAGTATGGCTGAGAAACACCATAGCAACCTAACTGAAGTGACAGCTCCAAGTCTCAGTCTCAGGGACAGAGGAGATGAAGCTGCTGTCCCTGACTTGGTCCCCCTCGAGCAAGTGTACTTTGCAAGAAAACACACTCCCCATCTAACCCAGGGGTGGTCCCAGATGGACTCCTATAGCCTTCACCATCCCGGGCAGCATGCGAGAGCCAGAAGAAGCCAGTACAGCAGTCACTCCATGGGGACAGGTGGAGGACATGCCGCAAAGTGAGGCCCCGTCAGCAGAGCAGCAGGGCAGGCGGGCAGGGGCACAGAGGCAGGTGAGTCTGGAGGGAAGAAGCAAGCAGAAAATGGCCAAGGCGGGGGGTGGGCAGAGGACATGGGAAACAGCTATCACTGGACACCTTGAGTCCTCTGTCTCACAAAGAACAGAATCATAGAGGACTTTACGGAAAGCAGGTCAAAGGGGGAGTGTTTGTTAGACATGGCAGAAGGAAAGCAGTTGCTGTGGGTGTCTGGGGAGGGTCCCCGAAAGTAGGATTCGGGAGTGCTTTCTTTATGCTGGTCTTGTACAGATGGCTCAGTTATGGAAGGATCACCCATCACAGGTAGCTCGTGGGGGTTAGAATAACCAGTTGGAGCTCAGGCTTGGTAGAGTCTAAAGCAAATCAGTTTTCAGCAGGCCAAGTTCAAAAGAAACCAGTTTACTCTGTATGTGTAAGTTGCTCCAAGTCCAGCTCGGGCATAGAGGGAGGTATCAACTAAATCAGCATACTTAGCCTTTTTATCGCTTCTCCTGTGTTTGCTTTTATACTCCAGAGTTTAGTTGCATGGCTCACAGTAGCTCTTCACTGGGTGTCTGTGCTATTTCTTTGCATCAAGCTGACTCTGTCTTGTGTCCATCCCTTTTACAGAAGCACTGTGGGCATTCCCCAGGGGCTGGCAATTGCTGCCCACCGGGGATGGCTTAGAGGAGCCACGACAGCGGGGCATTGAAAGGCCCAGTAGATATCAGAGCTCTGGGCAGGGGGGTCCGGGAGAAAGGTGTCGAAGGCTGGACACCCTGGCCGAGTGCAGGGACCAATACCGGACTGCGAGCAGAGCTCCTCAGGTTGCACAGGACCTCAGATGGCTTTGCCGGCCCCAGGGTGAGGGAAGTGAAGGGCAGAGGTGGGTGTCTGTGTGAGCCCACGCATCACCAGGACCGCAGCAGCCTCTCCACGCCAGGGCTGCCAGCATCTTCCAGGAGGGAGGAGCCCCATGAGCACAGCTCTCTGCCTGTGTCCCTGGAGCTGTCACCCCTCAGTGACTCAGGGCCTCCCCTGCCCAGGTGAGTCATACACCTGCAGCCTTCCTGCCTAGGAAGCTGCTCGACCCCCTCCGAGCCAGCCTGGCCCGTCTGCAGGCTGGAGCCATAGCACTTGGAGGGGCGGCTCTGCACACCTTTCCCTGCCACTGACGGCCTTCCAGGTTACACAGCCCAGTGGATGCCAGTCCCTGAGAGGCTGCAGGGACTCATTTGGCCTGTGTGACATCGAGGGTGGGGTTCCCCATCTCCCTCTCTTCACTGTGTGCAGACACAGCTGTAGCAGTCCCATCCCTGGGGCCAGCAAGACACATGTCAGGGCTAGCATGCACACCTGACTCAAGCTGACGGTGAGGTGCTGCCTCCTAGCTGCCAGTGGCCACGTTGTCCCAGGTGCATGGGCACTAACTTCTCTTCCTCTGTCCCTCAACTAGGGGGTGCCCAGGTGCCCACCTGGGGGCAGGGGGACCTGTGTGGCCAGACCTGGCCCCTCAGTGCCGGGAGGGGAGCAGTTTGGAGAGAAGCTTTGGGCCCAGAGTCTCCCAGAGCCCTAAGGAGTCTGATGCAGTGAGGGGAGCCCCGGGTGGGTGACAAGGTGGCCACGCTGTGTCCCATGGGCGGAGGAGCTGCAGGAGGGCTGTGGTGCCTCTGCTTTCCAAGGGCTGCTCACTCTCACCCAGCCCAAGCTCTGGGAGGGAGGAGGTGGAACACCATGAAGCACGCTTCCCTGCCATGGGGGTGGACAAGGCAGGCGGCACCACCATCACCCAAGGCAAGGAAACAAAGGCCCTCCAGCCTGTGCCCCACACACAGGACCGGGGGAGGCCAGAGTTCAGCCTGTGCAGCCCTTGCACATTTCCCATTTGAACAGGCATGGGGCCACCCGACCGAAGCCAGCATGTTGAGTGGCATTGCCCCAGGCTGCCCGGGTCTTCAGCCCCATCTCTGAGTGTGTGGAGGGACCATCCACACACTGTTTTGTAGGGCTCCCACCTCTGCTTCCCTTGGTCCCATTCAGGACCATCCTGAGACCCAGGCAGACAGGAGAAAAGTCCAGAGGCCAAGGGAGTGGAACTTCTCCCCACTCAAGACCCCATCCCTGGCACCCAGGGCCTTCAGTCCCCTGCCCAGATGGCCCGAGCCTCCAGGCAGAGCCACAGGCATCCTGTGGCTGGTGTGGGATCCTGGGATGGGAGCCCAGCCCTCTACCTCCTCAGCCAGAAGACGTCTAATCCTGCAGAGGGCTGGACAGAGCTTGGACACACAGGCTGGAGCCTGTCCTGGGGCAGTGTAGACTCTGAGTAGGGAGGGAAGGAGGCCAGGGACTCCTCAGGCCCGCGGGTGATAAGACAGGCCTGCCCCTGTGAGTAGCTTCCATCACTGTCGCAGAGCACCCTAGGATGACTTCTTAGGGAGAGGTTTCTTTGGCTCATAGTTTCAGAGGTTTCAGTCCATGGTCAGCTGGTGCCATTGTTTTCAGCCTGCATCAAGGAAGAAATTTGGCAGCAGGGTGGCAGAGGGAAGCTGCTCAATACACGGCAGTCAGGAAGGAGAGCAGAGACACAGGGAGAGGCCAGGGACAGATCTGTCCCGCAGTGCTCCCTGTCCTCCAGCTAGGCCCAGTTCCCAGTTTCCACCACTTCCCAAGAATGCCATGAAACGATGGGTCCACCACTGGGCGGCTCAGTGATGAGATCCAGTCTCTCTGAACACTGCTGCCCTGGGACCAAGCCATCAGCATGTGAGCCTTTGGGGCCATTTCAGACCCAGAGACTGACCTGCAGCACCAGCTCCAAAGCTGGAATGAAGTTCCTGTGGGGAGGAAGGGTGTTGACTTAATGCAAAGGCAGCTCTGCCCTCAGTCCCTTCTCCGTGAAAACAAACATCCCCTCCCCGGTGTTTCCGCAGCCTTGCGCATGCACTGAGCACCCACAGGGAGGCCAGGCGAAGCCTCGGCCCGTGGTTCCGCTGTGCCTCTGGACAGGCCACCCATCCTCGCCTGCCCTCTCAGGAGCCAGTAGCTGCCTTCCTTGTCCAGCTCCTGCCCTGCCTCGGAGCCTGGAGCCTCAGCTCTAACCCACAGCCTGGGCCGTCCCCAGAACCTAGTGACCCAGTGACCATGGGCCTGTCCCTGGTGCGGCCGGGTGCTGGGAAGTCTGGGGACAGGTGCTCCTGAGTGGCGCCTCTTTCTCCTCTCCCCTTGCCTGCCCCTGCTCCTTCGCTGCTTCTAGCTTGCTTGTCACCTCTCCCTGTTTCCTCCCAGCCCACGTGGGTCTGACCTGCTGGCTCCTGCAGGGACACAACAGCGTCTAGCAGCGCCCAGCAGCCTCACATGTGTCCTCCCAACCTGGTTGCACATTCTTCCCAGGGCTCGACAGTAGCTGTGTGTGTAACAGCTCTGTGACCACTTGTGCGTCTGTCCCCCGCCTCCAGGGCTCGGGAGCCAGGACCGACTTGGTTGCAGCACCTGCACCTGGCATCCAGGAGGCTTTGGTGCACACTGAGTGCATGCCTGGTGGAGCCAGCAGCCCATGAGTGAGGGCACAGGCTGTCGGCTCAGCGGCTGGCAGGGGCCGTTGGTCCAGAGCTCTGGGAAGAGAGCATGGCAGGGCGAGGGTCACCAGCAGGCCCACCTCTCTCCTCGGCCAAATGTTCAGCACCCTGATCCCTCTCTCCTTGCTCCTAGTACTTCTGCCTGCTGTTTGTCATCTTCCTTGTGGAGCTGGTATCGGGTGTCCTGGCCCACATGTACTACCGGAGGGTGAGTGGAAGGGCGGGGAGCCAGGGCAGACACACAGGGGGCCCTGACTCGAGGGCTGACAGTGCTCTGCATCTGGACCTGGCTCCCCGCAGGGCCCAGCAATGCTGCTCTGTCTGCTGGTGCAGCGGTGTCTGTGAGGGAGTTGGGGAGGGGCCACCCTTGTCCCTCCCAAGGAGATGTAGAGGGAAGCTTGGGCCAGGGAGCAACACCAGGCAGGAAAGAGCCCAGCCTTGCCTGCCTGGGCTGGACGAGGGGGAAGTGACCAGTCCGGCTGCCTCCCACCCCAGGGGCCTCTGAGGCAGGGCGCAGGGTCATGTGCAGGGCAACCCTGGGCTGGTGGGACCTTACGACTGCAGGGGCAGTGTCCTGGTGCCCACAGGGCAGCCATTGTCATTAGGAGTATCAGCTCATCATCATACTGCAAATCTGCAGCTTGTGGCCCACAGCCTGCGCCCGGCCCCCAGCCCCTGAAACTGTGAGCTGCCCCTCCCCTCTGGGCTCTGCCCTGGACACCTTGGCCCTCGGCCCGCGCCTTCTCGGGACGCTCGAGAGCCCTGCCATCCTGCCAGTGCCACAGGCCTTGGTGTCCGGGAGATCCAGGGCAGGCTTTGGAGCCCACCGGCCCATGGAGGGGCAGGGGTCCCACCTTTGCTCCCCTCTGCAGCTGAGTGACGAGCTGAAGCAGCACCTGCACCGCACCTTGGCGGAGAGCTACGGGCAGCCCGGGGCCTCGGAGGTCACAGCCTCAGTGGATCGCCTGCAGCAGGACGTAAGCCACGAGCACAGCCGGACTCTGTCCCTTCCCCTTCCCACCCGTGTGACCCCAGGCAAGCTCCCCACCCTCTCTGAGCTTTTGCTGCACCCCTACCATGAGCTCCTGAGAGCAGCAATGCCAAGACTGCATCTCAGATGTCCCCAGTCTCCACGAACACCCGGAGCCTGGGTCGCTTGCTTTGCCATCCTCTGCCCTCACTTCCGCCACAGCTCCCCAGCCACTCCTCAGCCCTCCTTCTGCTGCCAAGCCGCCCTGGTCCTCTGCGCAGGAAGCTGGCCTTGCCAGAAGAGCCAGTCTCAGCCCCTGTCTGGCTGCCTCCCTCCTGCTTCAGGAAGCGGGGCCCACGGCCCAGAGGGGAGGGCAGGGCAGGCAGCCAGAGGTCAGAGAAGCAACCGCCAGACCTTACAGTGTGTGCCCGAGGGACTGCACTCGGCTCTGCTTCCCAAATCAGCCAAGCAGAACGTGCCAGTGAGGCCCACAGCCCTGGCCCTCGTAGGACGTCCACACCCAAAGTCAGATGAAGGGCAGACTTTGATCCCTGTCACCCCGGGTGCAGTTCGAGTGCCGTGGAGCCACATGTGGCCACCACAGACCCAGGACATCTCTGTCCTTACAGGAAGTTCACTGGACAGCGTGCGCTAGAGTCCTAGCAGCACATGTGGGGAAATGCCAGCTGCTTTCCCCGCCCACTTTGGGGCCCCTTCCCCACTGCCCCTGCACACTCCACTTGGGGCTGGGGAGCTCCGAGTGGGGAAGGAAGAGGAGGTCAGGGAGTCCTAAACTCCTGTGTCCCTGAGACGCAGGCTCAGCTCCCAGTGGGGCACCCAGAGGGTCCCTTCACAAGAAGTAGGCCAGGGCACAGGGGCAGCCCCACCCAAGGGCCCACCCAGAGATGCACAGTGAGAATTGAGCCAGACAGTGCACGGGACAGACCCTGCCGGGGGGCCTAACTCAGAAAGGGGACCCGGAGTTGGCGCTGGGCTGGATCTCACACTGAGCAGAGCTGGGGTGCGGGTGTGTGCACAAAGGACACAGCTGGCAGAGAGGCAGTAGGACCTGAGGGACAGTCAGCACCCTGGCCTGCACCTCAGACAGGAAGGGACACGTGCCGAGGAGCCAGCGGCTTCCTGCGGCCGCTTCCCAGCCCTGCGGGGTGCCAGAGGTATGTCCATGACACATGGACACGCAGGACAAGCAGGTTGGGGGTGGGTGTCCCTGACTGCTGGCTCTGGTGGACTCTTTCCAACACTTCATGCGGGCACCTCGGCCAGTCCTCACAACAGCTGTGCAGGGAGCGTCCTGTCCTCATTTCACAAGCGGCCCCGCAGAGCAGCAGCCTTGGGGCCTGAGCAGACACACCTTGAGCAGCCTGCTGCTCCTCCGCCTGCCTGTGTGCTCCTGTTCGTTCCTCCTCTGCGCGACGCACGGGCTTCTGCCCTCTGTCCAACACAACTAACTACGACCCGTACTGCCCCTGCTTGAGCCCCAGCCCAGCCTCGCTTCGACACACAGTCAGTCCCTGGCCATGTGCAGAATCCGACCCCAGTGCCCCTGCATGCAAGGGCAAGAAGTGGCTGAGTCCACACTGAAGCAGCGTCTGTCGGGCTGGTGTTTCCCCACCCTGGCGGCTGCAGATGCTCACGCCAGGCCCTGGGCTCCGTGCTGACCTGCCCGTGGGCTGGGCTCTGGGATACTCCCGGTGCCCCTGCAGTCTGGGGGCTCCAGGCTTCAATGCCCAGTTGGACACCAGGACCTCAGGTGAGGCTGGGCCCCTGTCCCCAGTCCTGCCTCCTGGGTGACACCCTGGAGACCTCCCCTGGGTGCTGCTCCAGGCTCTGCCCATGGCCCCACTCTGGCAGGACCCCAGCATCCACCCACCAGCCCATCTTGCAAGCCCTCCCTGGCCCAGGACCCCCATCCTGATCTCCCCAAAGGACTTGGGTGGCTATTTAAGGCTGTGAGCAGGCGTTCCAGCCTGCAGACAAGGCACTCACGACAGGGAAGGCAGAACCCAGGAGAACGTTTGTGGACTGGGTGAAATCTGCGACCCGCGGCCAGGGAGGGACACACAAGGCCCTCACTCCAGCTGCCTCCTCCCCCTAGTTCAAGTGCTGTGGCAGCAACAGCTCAGCGGACTGGCAGCACAGTGCCTTTGTGCACTCACAGGAGGCCCAGGGGCGCCGGGTGCCTGACAGCTGCTGCAAGACAGTGGTGGCGCGCTGTGGCCAGCGGGTGCACCCCTCCAACATCTACCAGGTGGAGGTAAGTGCTGAGCTCCGACAGGCCAGGCCAGGAGTGGGGATGAGAAGCCCAGCCTCAGGGTGTCTCTTCAGAGCAGGCGACACTGGTTCCCTGAGGGCCGTCAGACACCATGGCACCTGGGCCCAGTCCCGCCCTCCCTCCTCACCCCAGCTGGCCAAGGAGCTCTGACCGTGCTCTCTTTCAGGGAGGCTGCGTCCCCAGGCTGGAGCAGTTCCTGGCTGACCATCTGCTGCTCCTGGGCGCGGTGGGCATCGGGGTGGCCTGCCTGCAGGTGAGTGGGGTTGGGGATGGCAGGGTCGTCCAGAGGCCCTTGCAGCCCCTCTCAGTGACTGAGGCTACAGCTCCCACCCTTCCCTGTGCACCCGGCTGGACCTCGTGGTTGTCGCTCCCCAGAGAACACGGGGCAGCTTGGACTGTGCAGGGTGGGGCCTCGGAGGAGAGAGTGTGTGCACTCGACGTGTGCAGAGTGTTGGTGGCAGTTTGGGCTGAGCTGCATGGGTATCTGCGGGCACCTGGGTCTCACTGGCTCACTGAAGGCACATGTGCATGTTTGGTGTAGGTGTGGGAGGTATGTGTCCCCGTACATGTCCTCATGAAAGGCTGTGTGTATATTCTTGCACCCAGCTCTCTCCAGAGGGTGGGCAGTGCCCTTGGCTCCTGCTTCTTCCCTCCATGCCCCTCCCCAGCCACCGTCCAGGAAGTCAGCATCGCGTCCACCCAGAAGCTGGGCAGGAGCTGTCAGCTGGGCACACAGCGAGCAGAGCCTGCCAGCAGGAGCTGCATGGCACTGACCTTGTAGCTTCAGCTCAGCCCTCAGTCAGTGCTGTACGCAGTGTCCAGGGAGGGCAGGGACTTTGCAGGGCTCCCAAGCCCAGTGCTGCATCTGCTCTTGGCTCTCCCTGTCCTTCCACTTCGTCTCCCAGCCTCAGAAGGCCTGTGTGAGGATGTGATGTGCTTTGGCCCACACGAAGGCCAAGGTCAGGGGAGCTTCTTCAAGCTCTCTGTGAGCTCCAGAGTATTTCAGACGCTGCTTCTCCTGGGAGCCTCATGACGTGAGAGGGAGGTGTCCTGTCCTTTAAGGCAGAAAGCTGAGACCCAGAGAGACAGCTTTCCAAGGCTCTCACACTTGGAGCTGGCACCTGGGTCCCCTGGTTGTGGGCCCTTGTTTTCCGAATTCCTTATCCCCACACAGAGGCCTGTGGAAGAGAGACATCCAGGTGGCAGTGTCCCCTAGCTTGGAGAGACTCCAGGGCAAAGTCTTGCAGACCATGTCTTCCACCCACATCAGTCCAAGGCCTGGAGGAGCCAGTTGCAGCCTCACATACAGGGAGAGGCCTCAGCCTCCTGAGGAAGACCCATCTCAGTCCTGTGACCTTGAGCTGTATGGCCACAGCCAGTTATTTCATCTCTGAGCCTCAGTTACTCACTTGCAAAGGGGTTGATTACACCTCATTCGGCCATGGAGTGAGCATCAGCACCGAAAGAGCCAAGCAGGGAGCAGGTTTTCTGACCGTGACACACACCATTTTTATTATTTCTCTGTAGGCAGATTGTCTTGGAGAACAGTCCCAGCTGCTCCCCTGGCTCGCACACCTTCGTGCCCAGAGCCCCGGGAGGAGCAGCGGGGCCCCTCCTGTCCCGCGTGCTGAACCAGGGGTCACCCCTGCTCTGCTTCAGCTCCTGCTCCACTGAGGGCCCAGGAACCCTCTGCTCTGGACTTTGACCGAGCCTGGTCTGCTCTGCTCGGTTCCCTGCGGGCCCTGTGTCTGCAGAAGTAATGGCCAAGGTGAACCTCGGGCCAGAGAGAGCCCTCCGTGCAGTTGCGAGAGTCTGGAGGCCAGCAGTGGACCTGCAGACACACACGTCCCCTCCCCGCTCCGCCCCTCCGTGCACGGGCTCCACTGCTGACTGTGGAGTGGCCCCCGGGTCCCCAAGACAGTCTTCACTGGCCGCAGCTGTGAGTTTACCCAGTTTTCTCCACTGCAGCCCACGGAGCTCTGTGATGGCCAAGCTTCGGCTCAGAGCGCCCTCTGCCGGTCAGACTCAGGCACAGCCGCCGCGCGCATCGCACCAGGCCTCCCCCAGGCCAATCTTGCTCCCAGGCAGAGGGCTGGGGATTTAGCTCAGACGCCTGGCCCGGCAGTCTGATGCTCCCTGTCCTCTGAGCAGGGGGAGCCTTGCTGGGAGACAGAGCCTGGATTCCAGACTAGAGCCCTGCCCTTGTGTGGCCGTGGGGAATCACATTTCCCCTTAGTTTCCTTACCTGTAGAATGGAGAGGCCAAACGTTTTTTAGCCATTTTTAATGTTTTCAGTTTTCTAGTTGCCTTTTATTGGTACATGTTTGCGGTACACAGCGCTCATATTTACGGCAGGGAGCTGGCACCCGACAGAACACCTTCACCCTCTTCACCCCTGCTCCGCCCATCCCTTCTGCTCCTTCCAACTCTTAGTCCTCTTCATTTGCAAAAAGCTCTATTTCCATTTTTCTTCAGTTGCTTTTTTTTGAGAGGATGGGGGAAAAGAACTGAGCCTTTTGTAGAGCAGCAGTGTCTGCTTGTCAGTGGAAATCTCACACAGGCCCTCTGTACGCAGGAGGGAGCTGCTGGGGCTGCCCCTCCCAGGCTCAAGGCTGGGCTGCACCGGATTTACCACAGTGTGGAGCCCTAGGCCGGCCCCGGCCCTGTGACGTCTCTGGCTGTAGCCCTCTGAGTTTGGGTAAAGCACCGGCCACTGCAGCAACAGCTGCCTCAGGGTGGCACCTGCAGGAAGCTGGAGACAGGCCCGAGAACTCAGCAGAGCGCGCAGCCAGGTATGTCACGTGTCCTCGCAGGCACGGGCCTGCGCCCTTTATGCTTGGGAGACGTGGTGGGGCTGCACACTCTGCACCGAGAGGGAGAGGAAGGGGCTCGAAGAGCCTCCCCCACCGGGTGAACTCGGTGAAGGCCCAAGTGACTGAGGACTCCACCCTGGTCCATGGGGTGACAGAGCCAGAGTGGAGAAAACCTGGTGCCTGAGAATGCTGTGCCGAGAGGCTGGATCTTTTCAGACTTCACATCCTTGCACTGAGCTTTTACCTTGTTTTGCATCAAACCTGTAGTGCAATGTGGGGCCAGACTGGGGGGCTGCGGACTCTCGTGATGGGGTGTGGTCCGGCAGATGCAGCCTGGGATTTCACTGGAAAGGTGGGGACGGGACCCACTCAGGCCACCCTGAGCTCTGCCCCCAAGTGGGATGGGCTCTGCAAAGTCCCCAGAGCAGCAGTCCTCAACCTTGGCAAGCTGGAAAGCCCCACGGCCAGGCTGCAGCCCAGCACGAAGGGCTAAAATAGTCTACAGGGGTCTTTGCAAGATCCTGGTGTTCCTCTGCACAGCCGCCTCGGCCACACTATCACTGGGCCTGTCTCATTCAGGGAAAGCTGGGGACACAAGAGAGATGGGAGCCAGGGAGGGGAAGTCATTTGCCTAAGGTCACACAGGGCAGACCTTGCTCCCCATTTTGGCATGGACTCTGAAGGCACTCTGTTTAGGTAACTTTAGAGAGTAACTCCTAGAGTTCTGGCTGGGACCATGCTGGCACTGCAGGGGCAGGGTGCAGTCCCTAGCACACACATACATAGCAGTCACTGTGCAGTCCTAGGCACAGGGTTAGAGCAATGTAGAAGGCCCTGACCAGCCCAAGACATCAGGCAGGGCTTCCTGAGGGAGGTAAAGTGTGGGGATCCTGGAAGGAGTCCAACAGGAAGTGGCAGAATGGGTGAGAGCCAGGGAGTGGGTCGGCATGTGCACAGACCTGGCTGGCTGGCAGGGAATGGGGCATCACTGAAGGGCGCTAGGGGCCATGGCTCTGCTGGCGTCACACAGGGTGCAGGAGGGGCTGGGTCCTGTTGTCCTTGTTGTTCAGGCGTCTCACCAGGACAGGCTCTGGGCCAGGGAAAATACTGGAGGTGTTTGTGTTGATAGAGGGAGGCACGAGGCTCAGAGAGGGACGGAACTCCCCCACCCAAGGTCATCAAGCCCACTGGCGCCCACTTGTGAGGGAGCCTGGCTCATCAACTACCCTCCCTCTGCCGGGGTGCAAGTGGGCTCTGGGCCCAGGCAGTGACAAGGCAGCCTCGCACCTTCCATGGCGGGCTCTGCAGCCTATTCGAGGGGAGGGGAAGACCATCTGGGGATAGCTTCCAGGGACCTCCCTGGCCTTTTCCTCCGGCCTTCTGGTGACAGCCAGGTGCTGGTTCAGAAACATCTCGAGGAACTGAGCACCTTGGGCCCCTGTCACAGGGCCCGCCCTGGGCTATGCTCTGCCAGGCAGCCCCCGGAGAAGCACCTCCCGGCCTGGCCTGGCCTGCCTGCCTCAAGTCCAGTGACTGCAGTGCACTTTCCTGTGTTGTCCCTGTTCGCCCCTGCTGGCTGCCCGGAGCTGCTAGCGCTGGCTTCTTGCCTCCTCTGAAAGGGGGACCAGTCAGGGCTCCCCTGAGATCCAAGCCAGCGACCATCCCTGCACAACATCTAGGAAGGGGGAGTGTGTCCACGTGTGTTCACATGCACACGTGGAGATGAGTGTCCCTTACCCCTCTCATGAGTCAGGGTGGGGAGTCTGCTTGGCGTTTATGCATACGCGTGTACACACACTGAGGCGAGTGTGCCCATGCAGCTCACCCGTACTGTGCTTATCTGAAGAGGCCCCTGGAAACACATCCCATCCAAGAGTTCGAAGGCCGCCTGGCCGGTGCTCTTTGCAGATGTGGACACAACACACAGTACATCTGAAGTGCGGCAGCCTTCTCCTCCCTGCCCCCTTAGCAACATCAGAATGATGCATACAGACCCCCAGGCGGGTAATCAAGGCACAAGGGGGTCAGGAGTGTGCTGGGAGACACCTGGGTGGAACAACTGACAGCCACCTGCTGAAGGCCAACCGAGATGAGATGCGCTCCTAAGCCCCTGGGCTTGTGACCCTGAACCCCAGAGGTGGATTAGCGCAGAGGCTGAGAGCTGAGCACAGCACCCACAGTCTCTGCTGTCCTCCTTCTCAGCTGACAAGAGAGGCAGGCAATGGGCTGTCCTCAGTGCTGCCTCGAGCCAGCCCTGCAGCCAAGCAACCACCTCGAGACAGTGACCACCCCACCAGCCTGGCCTCCTCCCTGGCTGGAGCCCGGACACCCACCCAGGCTTGTGCTGCCACTGTCTGGCCCATGAGAAAATTTAGGGGAAGCCAGGACATTGTCCCTGTATTTAGGGGACTCCACCTTCACCCTGTGCCAGGGAGCAATCATGGGGCTCCTGGGCACAGTGCCCCTCTTGTGGGTAGAGGGAGATCCAGCATGTCGCTGCTGTCATTCACAGAACCCCGATGTCAGTCTGGGAGCTCTGGTCACACCCCCACCTCCTTGTGTCCTTGAGTGGGAGGGAGGAGAGGAAGAGGAGGAAGCAGAAGGACCTATGAAGAGCTAGGAGGGAGAACAAATGGGGAAGCTGAGGACCCAGGTGGGAAGTGATTTTCCCAAGCAAGGGTGCGGCAGCCCCTGTGCATCACTGCTGGACTTGAGGTGGGCTCTCACACAGGTCGCTGAGGGCCTGCGTCTGCATCCTGAGCTGTTCACAGGATGCTCCTGCCTGTGTCCACTTCCACAGTGGCTTCTGAACATCAGCCAGAACATCAACCCTGGGCCTCAGTTTTGCGCTGGAGTCTGAAGGCAGCAGGATGCAGGCAGATTCATCCTAGAGAGAGGTGCTGAGACAGCTCTCGTGGGAGAGTGGAAACACCACTGTCCAGGAGCCCGTTAACCTGGGCTGTCCCTGGAGAAGCCTGGGACTGCAGACCTGCAGCATCAATGAGGAGCTCGCGAGAGATGCAGATCCTCAGGCCCCCACCCCTTCTGAGCAGCCAGCACCTCGAGGTTCTGATGTCTTTCTGCTCTGCTTTCTCCACCTGGCAGATCTGTGGGATGATTCTCACCTGCTGCCTGCACCAGAGGCTCCAGCAGCACTGTTATTAAAGGCCAACTCTGTCTCCTTCTGACCACGCTCCCCAGGACCAGGCCCACATCCCACACCTCGTGCGCACCAGGCCTGCAGACTCGGCCCCAGCCCAACAGGGCACAGGGACTTCTGTGAGCGCACCGAGTGCCTAAGCCTGCCGGGGACCCCCCACTTCTGCTTACTCACTGCCCAAGTCCAGGCAGGGATGATCCTGCCGGGAGACAGCCAGACCCCTCCCGGGAGGGGAGCCCATGGACCATGGAAGGCCAAGGGCTGGGCTCTCAGCCCCTTCCAGCTCCGGAACCTGCACCTCGGAGCTGAGGTGCACTGGCCACTGGCCAGCATTCGACTTCTGCCTTCGCCCACTCTTCCCCACAGTAGCACTGGGGCGGACTCCTCCACAGGAGCCCACACAAGCCCTTGGATCTGCCTGGGCCCTCTCATGGGAGAGCAGTGATGTGCCTGCTGACTGCCTTCTGAGAGGCCTCAGTGTTGGTGAAGGCTCAGTTGAGCCGCCAGGCAGGGGCAGGGGGCACACTGGCCACAGCAGCAGGTGCCACACCAGGGACACCCCTGCCCACCCACCCATGTCCTGTGGGGAAGATGCCTCTGGAGATAAGGCCAGAGCCCTCCTCCCCCTGCCCTAAGGATCACCTGGCTCAAGGTCAGATTCTCAGGACTGCCAGGTTCTAAGTGTTACTAGATGTAAAAATCCAAGTGGATGAAATCCCAACCTGCAAAGTGGGGGAATGGACCCTGAGAAGGAGGAGCCCTGGGTGGAGGGGCACCCCTACCCCTTTTTTCCTGGGGCGCTCTCCCTGACCATGGTCACCATGTGCTCTTCCCAGGGCCCTGCTCTGCTTCCTTTTCTACCATCCTGGAGTGGACACTGTCCCTCCCTTTGGTTCTCTTTCGTCACTGAGAGAAGCAGGGAATTTTCTGGAAGAACCACCCAACACTGAGGGAGAATAGAAGGGAAACCCTAGAATAGAACACATAGGCAGAGAGTAGGTATCGACTCAGACCAGAGCCTTGAGCATCCTCCAAGTGGCTGTTTCGTAGGCAGCTCCTAAAACCCCACTCCTGGCTTCCATCTTTCCCGGCTCCTGCACTTCTCCCCATGAAGGGGATGTTCTTACCCTCTCCACATGGACAGTGGCACCATGTCATGCTGAGGTAAGGCCAAAGGAGGTCACACCTCTCCTCCTGACATGGTTCTGTCTGGAGAGCACAGCTCTGCTGCCCTGGCTCAGCCCCGGAGAAGGTGTGCTCTCCCACACTCAGAGCCCTGCGTGGCCCAGAAACTGTCTCCAGAGCAGGAAGTGACCACGAGGATGGAGGGACGTGCTGGGCGCTCCCTAGAACCTGGGCTGGCCTCTCTCACCTGCCTAGAGAAGGCCAGGGCTTGCTGAGGAAAATCATCCAAAAGGAGACAGGCTTCCCCAGCAGCCCATCCTATACCACAACCAAGGGAAATGGCAGAATGTGAGCACTTCAGCTGTCCTCCGACTTCCTGGGATTCGGGCAGATTGTCCAAAACCACCGCAACTGCCAGGCTTATAGAGGAGAGGTGCCTGGCTGGATCCGAGCTCTTCCCGTGGAGGCCTCAAGGGAGGTAGGAGTAGACAGGGAGATGCCAAGCCTTCTGTGGCTGCCCAGAGGGCTCCCTGCATTCTCAGGCACACGGGGGACAGAGGTGACAGGCAGGCGCCACTTGATCAGCCTTGTCACAAGGCAGGGCAGGAACGTGACTCGTCAGCCCCAGCCCCATAGGTTGAGTTGGCCGGCCTGACCAGGACAGGATTAACTGTGAGCCCTGCCGTGGGCACCACTGGCCCTGACAGCCACTGGCAGGAATGGCTGATCATTGCTGCAGAGGGAGAACTGTACAGAGCTTTTTGGAAATGTGGTCTTGCTCATGCGAGCAGCATGGAGACAAGACAGGGCTAGAGCAGATGGAGGCCTGGTTAGAGGAGGTGCCCTGGGTGGTGGTCGTTCAGATAAGGACTTTTACCCCCACACACACCCACAAACACTGTTGCTGGGCTCTGGGGTGGGGACAGTGTGGTGGGGCACTGTGGTCCTGGAATGTCGCTCTGGGACTCCCTGAAGGCTGAGTAGGGAGAGTGAATTGGAATGGTTACCTTCAGCACCTACCGGCTACCAGCCTTGCAAACACTACCTGCCTACACACAGCGGCACCAGGCCTGGAAGGTGGGTAAGAAAGTGGTATTCTGTGTGGCTGCTGGGTGGCACTCCCTTTGTGGGGATGAGAGCGATCAGTATCTCGGCTGGCAGTTGTCTAATGTGCTGTACACAGCAGTCATCGTGGGGCCCTCCCAGAGAGAGGCCATCTAACAGTTCCCGGGGCTGCTGGTGCTGCTGGCCCTGCAGCCACACTTCGAGGTCCGCTACTTTGGACCACACCACAAAGGAATCATTGCCACCTTCCCTCAGATGTCACAGCCCCAGGAGAGGGCGGGGGGAAGCCCACTACAGCCTCCCTGCGCCTCCTTGCAGCCCCTGTCCTGGTGGTGCCTGGGTCCTCCCCTTCCTCCCCCAGCCCCAGTCTCCCACCACCATCGATGCACCTTGGCAGCCCTGCTGCATCCTTCTCACTCCCTTCTATTTCAGCATAATACCCAGCCCTGTGCTCCTGGCCTCCTTCACATCGCTCCCTCCTGCTCGTGGGCCTGCACACTCACCTCACCTGTACAGTGCCACTGGAAATTCCAGGCAGCCCAGCGACAGGAGGCTCCCTGGGCCCTGGAGCCAGCCGGCCTGGAGCAGGCCATCACATGTGGGAATGGAGAAGTTGCCTTACCCTACCCCATGTAGAGAAGCCCTCTCAGGGCAGCCTGGCCCTCCCTCACTGGTCTTTGTAAGCCTCTGGTGCTAAGGGCGTGTGATGAAGGAATTATATCTAGGACTACATTCCGCAGATCTGTGTTTTGCTCCTCTGCAAGGAAATCCCAGGCTTTGGTTCCCCGAAGGCACTGTGACCCTGCTGTGTCACTGTGTCACGGCTCCCTGTTCGCAAATCCAAGACCTCATTCGTTAGGGTCCTGCGCAGCCCCCTTCATCAGTTCTCGTGATCTACTTGTCTAGAAGGACAGCTGCTCACAAGTGGCCTTGGCCCCTGGCTGCAAGTAAAAGCCAGGCTTAACCAAGCTTCCTGCCTTCATACTCCGTACTTCACCCACTTCCCAGGGGCAGGCGCCACTCGCTAACGAGCCTGTGCTCTGCTCTTCCCTGCCGCCCTCCCCTTCATTGGGACGCTGGCTGTGGTGAGGTCGGGCGAGGCTGGGACTCGGTTCCCCAACGCCCTCCAGCGTATTTGCCGGTATTTCTCCACCTGGCACCCACGACTGTCTTCATCCCCGAATCCAAGCTGGAGCCTTTTTGTCTCAGCACACACAGACCTGAGTCTCTGCTGAGGGCACCAGTGCATCCGGTACATTTTAGAGCTAAAGGCTTCATCCTCTACGACACGAAACACTTCTCTGTTTCACTGTTCCTTCTAGAAAGTTGCTTGAGGACTGGTGGGAACCAGAAAACAGTCTGGGTAAGCTGGGCTCTAGAGAATCTTGAGACAGGAACCAGGGAGGGTGTGGTCCAGGAGGCAAGTTGGGAGCAGAACTCTGGCCTGCGTGAACTCAGAGGGGTCCCAGCCACTGACTGACAAATGCTGGATCCCCTGAGGAAGTCCCCAGGCAGGGGCCTGCCTTGCTAGGGACTCTGCTGACCCTGCCTACTCTCCAGGAGACACAGATGTTTGCTCACCCCCACCACCACTGTGAGTGTGCACACATGCGTGCAGAAAGGCACCCACACACCAAGGAGGGAAAAGCACCATCCATACCTTTCCCAGCTGCAGGCCAGCAGTGCTGTTGGTGGTCTCACTGCTGCCTACGTGACCCAGCAGCCAAGAAGGGCTGTAGCATGCAGGTGGGCTCTGGGCAGCCAGTGCTGAAGCAATGCCAAGTCACCCTCGGTGGCTGCTGGGTCTCCTGTCCGCTGCTACTACTTCCCAGCAGCCCCGAGGGCTGGGTTTCATTGCTGGGGATGCACATTTCCACTTGCTCCCCACAGTGAAAACTAGAGAGGCTACTGGCAGGGAGGGGAGGACATGGGGACAAAGCCCTTAATAACCAGGAAGCCCTGCTGCCTTTCCCTCCTGCCCCCATTTCTAGTTAAATCTCAGGCTGCTCAGTAGAAAGGAGCTGCCCTGGGAGAGATGAGTGTAGAGTCCCAGCTGTCCGCCAGCCAGTGCACTGAGGACACGGTAAAGCCAGCCTGAGCCAAAGGGTTAGCATTTCCCAGAGAGGCTGATGGCCAGCATCTGTGGGGCTTTAACATACTGAGAGCAGCTCATGCCTTGCTGATTCTATTGCAGAGAACCCCAAGTTGGGGACCAGGGGCAACATTCAGCATGCTCTCCAAAAAGAAGGCTGAATCTTTTCAGGGACTGAAGTGTCTGCCAGAGAAGAGAACTGCATGGAGGACATGCTGGACTTCTGAGGACGCAGTGGGGGTTGGGGTGAGGACAGAGGCAAAGGCACAAGCTTCCTGGTGTCATTAAACTACAGAACACAGGCTGCCACCTGCACTGACCACGTGTTGGAGGGCACTGCTGGGGACACTGAGCTAGGCTAAGGTCCAGAGCTGTGTAACCAGAAAACATATCTTAGAGCAAGAGGTGCTACCCACAAGCCTCAGGTGCAGGCTGCTGAGTACCTTCTACTGCCAGGTGTGGCTTCCTCTAAGCTGTGTTGCTTCCTCTGAGCCCAGGGGCATCACGGGAGATAGTCAGTACCCCAGGCTCACCCAGTGCTCTTCTGGGTCCTAGGGACATGAGAGGATGCTCCAGGTGAGCAGCATCAGGCACGAGGGACAGCTCAGGCACACCTCACTTACTCTTTTTGTGAGCTAAAGAGACAGTGGTCCACCTCATGGCTGTCCTTAAACAGCACAACCCAGATGGCTAAATCAAGTTTCCAGATCTTTACTGAATGCTTTAAGAGGGGACCATCTCAACTCCCGCATTTTTGTTCCAAAGTGGCACTGATTTAATTTGGTTTCCTCTTGCTTCTGTGGTTATCAAATGCTGCCGCTGAGCCAGCCCTGCAGAGTGGAGATTGGGAAGCTGTCTGCAACCTGCATGGCCGCTCAGTCCCCGCCCCCATGCACCCGCCACTCTTCCCAGCCAATCTCCAGGGTCCCCAGCTTTCAGCTGGGCAGTGCTCATCCCTGGGGTCCTGCTTTTAGTTTGGGAACCCACATTCCAACGGGCACTTTCCTCACTTGGCAGGTGGCAAAATCAAGAGACATTCCACGACTGTCGGACTTGCATGGACACCAAATGCTCAGTGGGTGTCGAGCCTGGGTCTTCCACCACCACACCATGCACATCCTAAGTTCAGGTGTCAACAGCCAACTTTCACGTTTATGACAGCATAAGACTGTGGTCTTACTCATGCCACGCTGCTCTCTGCCCCTCACCCACAGGCGGTACACTCATCTGGCAATCTGGTCACACAGTTAGGCATCTACCTGTGCAGGGGGAGCCCGTCCACCGGGTGAGCAGCAAGAATGCACGTTCTCCCCCCTAGATCTAAATACCACCATGGCTTGTTGGTTCTCCTGTCTCAGATCCAACTCAACGCTGCTTGCAGTGCCCTGTCAGCTCCTGGGCACATCACTGCAGCAGCTGGGGCTGGTCTCCCTGCAGCCACTCCTTGCCCACTGACCGCTCTCCATGTGCCAGGCAACCTTCCCAGGCAGAGCTCCATGTCACACGGGCTCACAGCCTCTCCGTGGCTCCCATTGCTGCTGGCTTCGGCTCAGCCTTTTCCACCTGCTTTGCATGCTCATGCCCTGGCAAGGCTCCTGCCGCACCTCCATGCCCTCTGCACCAGCTGTCTGTGGCCTGGTTGGGGGCCTTCCCTTGCCCAAGTTGGGGCCAGTGCCTGAGCTGCATGGCAACCAGGGCCCTGAGAATGTCACGATCGGTGCTGAGCTGTACCCGAGGTCCACTCCTGTGGTCTCCTCGATTCTGGTGCTCTGGGGGCACAATGTGAGTCATCCCCAGTCGCAGTCCCAGGGCCCAGCATGAGTTGCACTTGCTTGGTCCCTGAATGACTGGAAGCTCATCTGTGCAGCCCTGCTGGCAGCATCCTTGCTCGCTTACAGGAAGCCTTCTCCCCATCACATGGGATCAGGCAGCAGGGGGGCCCAGAGTCATCCTGGCCACTCCCTCCCATGGGCAGAAGAGCCCAAAACCCACCCCAGAAGGCTCTAGCCACATCATTAGAAGACCCAAGGAACATGGGCCCTTCTGCCAGCCAGGGCCTGCCTTCTAGAACAGTTAGTCAGTGCAGCCCACTGAGTTACTGCAGACATCATGCCAAGCGAGCGGACATCCCAGCAGGTGTGTTCACACCTGGGGACAGGCCAAAACCAAGTGGCTCCTGCCCAAATCCCTATGATAGGGCTGGTCCTCAACAGCAATACTGGTTTAACTGCCCCAGCCACAAAGCCCCACCCAGTACATCCACCGGGACCTGAGGCCACTTCAGCTGTACCTTGGGGAGATCACCCGGACTCGGGGCAGTCTCTCAGGCTTTAAGACAGGGCAGCTGCAGGCTGGGGCCCCATAGGTTGAGGCTCTGGGACCGTGCTGTCACCCTGGCTACTCCCTTGGGGAGGGAGGCGGGCAGGCCTTCAGACCCTTGGATACATGCATTCCTCATCCCTGCTTCCACTCAGGGGCAGTGACATAGCAGTGACCCAGGACAAGGACTTGAAGTGTGCCTCATCTGCAGCCGACTTGTGCCAGAAACGACAGCCAGATCCCAGTTGGGCTTCTACTAGCCTGTGGTAGCCAGAGGGCCTTCTTTGTCACAACCATCCTTGGATACATTTCTAGTCCCCTGGAATTGTGGCTCCGTGCTGAGAGACACCACACTGTCCCTATAGTCCTGGGACAGACGTCAGGCTCACAGGATCACCAGAAATGCTAGAAAAACAGGGAGATCCCTGCCCCTGCAGGAAGCCATTCTCATAGTCCTCATCCCTCCCCACACACAGGGCCTGGGCGCCTACAGGGCGGCAGGTATGGAGATGGGGCCAAGGCCTCTCGTGCAGCCCCCTTAGGCTGCCCCCTCGAGCCTGCCTCAGGTCACCAGACAGAGCAGTGTCTGCATGGCTCAGGCCCCTACAGAGGAGATGGGGACCCCCCCAGCCCCACCCAGCACCTTTACCTGGGTCCTGGAGGGCAGAGGAGGTCCCTGCCCTGGGGAGTGTCTAGGACAAGGGGAAGATCAGGGCCTGAGCCCCACCCCGGGTGCCTCACAACTCCTATGTAAAACAGGTCATCACCATAGCTGGGTGCACAAACACTGCTCAGAGACTGCCCAGTGTGCTTTTGACACACTATCCGGTTTTATTTAAAAACATGCTAAAAATATAGTGTCCAACAAAGCCGGGACTGGGATGAGGAGGTGTACAGACAGGCAGCACAACAGAAAAGTGCATCAGAAACCGAGAAGTGTGCTCTCCGGCTCCCCCACTGCCCTGGGCCAGGTGAGCAGCACTGGGGTGTAGGCAGGGCAGGGGCAGGACACACTGGACCTGGACCAGGGCCTCACTGCAGCAGAGGGGAAGATGAGGGAACAGGGACCAGGGGAGCTGCCCGACGCTGAAGGGCTGAGGGGCCAAGAACAAGCCCCAAGCAGCCTGCACCCGGCTCCCATCCTGTGCTGTCCCCGCTAATTAGCACCTCCACCAGAGGGTGGGCAGGGCGGGAGGAGGGGACGCCCCTTCCAGCCACATGAGCTGCTCTATGGCCACCACAGCCGGAGGCATGGCCACCTAGCTCCACATCCAATCAGACACGTGCAAGGAGCCTAGGAGGTGGTCAGCAGCCTCTCCAGGGTGAGGGCCCGGGTGCAGGGCCAGGCTGGCTGGGTGATGGGTGGCTGCCGCCTACTGCTGGCCACCCAGGGCAGTCTGCAGCCCCTCCACAAGATGCCACAGAGAAAGGCTGAGTCTGCATCGGGCATTCCCTGGAAGTCACCCACAAATCTGAGGGGCCTTTCTGAGTCAGGTCTGTCAACTGCTTGCATCAGCCCTGATGGAACGGAGCTAACTTTGACCTCAGCCAGGGAGCTGAGAGTGAGGGTGTCACTCTGGAATTCCCCCCGTGAGGTCATGGTCAGGAGAACCCGAAAAGACGCTGAACCACCCCTGTGGCATCACTCAGTGTGGCCTTCCAGGTGGCCTGGGATGGGCAAGGACTCAGGACAACAACCACTCTGTGTGTGAGACTGCCCATGCAGCCTCAGCCAAACAGCTCAGCAGCTGTGCTCAGCGGGGCACGAAGGCAGCCTACAGACGAAGGTCTGGGACGGATGCATGAGGTGGGGGAAAGGGTGGCTGTGGCCAAGGCTCCAGAAACCGAAGATGCCAGGGAGGCTATATGTCTCAATGCTGCTGCTGCTATTAGCAAAAATTAACAATTGCATTGATAGGCATAAATAAACCCACTCACCCTCCCACAGCAGAAACATCACACAGCAGGGCCTGTGCAGCACCAACACTCTGCCAAATGTGTGATGATGGGTCCGCCCTGCCCTCTCATTCTGAAGGGAGGCAGCTCTTGCTCCTCACCAGGAAAAGCACCAGAAGAATACAGGGAAAGGCAACTTTGCTCAAAGGTGCACTTGCCCCATCCTGCCTTCCCAGCAATTCCATCCACGCCACATTCCTGCCTCTGCCCAACCTGCTGAGACCATCCATCTCTCCACCTCCCATCACCAAAACAGGAGTCCTGAAACACCCTGGTCCTGACTTGTGTGTTACTTAAGCGTGGAGGAGGATTTCGGGGTAGCTGGAGGGGGGGGGGTCTCGGCCCCAGGGAAAAGCCGGCAGGGGAGACCTGCTCTGGTAGGCAGAAGCAGTGCCCAGTGAAGACCCAGTCCCCACCTGGTGGTGGCACACTTTCCAAGCTCAGCCCCACTGACTCTGACGGGGTGTCCTGCTGCAGCTCAACCACCTCTCAACACCACCCCACCGTTCATGCCCATGCTACTTTTTCCCCAGAAATGCTGTGACGGGTCAGCCTGGCCTGGTGGGCTTTCTTACTTTGTGGGATCACACAGGATGTGACGGCCATCCAGACCCCTGCTGACAGCAGTGGGGACTGGGAAGGAGATGCGGGCAGGGTAGTCAGCAGCCCCATGAATGCGGCCAGTTCCACCTCCCCTCCTGAGGCTCCCAGGCCCTCTGCTGTCATCCGAGCAGCCAGACATGAGGACTGCTTCCCTGTCCCACAGCAAGGTGAGGGCGGATCCAGGCCAGAAGTGTCATCTAGGAGTCTACAGCAGGAATGTCTGGAAGTCACAGAGCTCAGACTGGCTCGGGGACAGCACCCAGGAGGAGGGTGAGCTGCCTTGCAGGGGCAGCAGAGAGCAGAGGGCGGCAGGAGGAAACACCACCCGCTGCTCACCCATGGGAAGGGCAGGACTCTGACAGCTCCAGCCAAGTTCCTGGCAAAGTGCTCGCCAAGCCCCTGCCCCACACTTGCTGAGCTCCTGCTGTCAGGTACCCTGCCACTGACTCACGCTCTTCCGTCCTTTGTCTATGGGGTCCAGGCCCATGCCCCATCCCAGATGCACCGGGCCTTCCTCAGTGCGCTCCAGAAGGCCTGGTGGAGCTCAGCCTACAACCACTCGAGTCACACGGGGTGTGTCCTGAAGCAGAGTGGACAATGTCCCCTGCCCACCCATCCCACCCACAGGAAGGGAAACTCAAACCGTGAAGGAGATCAATAAAGTAAAAAGTTACAAATCAGAAAGCTAACCCTAAACTTACCCGAGAGATAATATTCCTGAATAATCAAAATCAGAGTAAAATAAAAAAGTTACACTGTCAGGTATAAAAAGCCCGGCACGATGCACAGGGCCATGCTTGGCAGCGGGCAGACTCTGCCGGGCAGACGCAGATGGCGGTAGCCTGTGTGGGGGACAGTGCTGCCCCAGGGGAGTACTCTGCCCCTACCCACTCAGGGATGATGCATGGGCGGCACGAGGAAGGGCAGGGGCAGAAAGCCATCAGGTCCCGGCCTCCTCCTTACCCCACCCACCCCGCCGTCTTTGGCAAATTTGCAGATGCAGGAACCCGGTGCCCAGTGCCCTGCAGTCTGTGCGTGCCTCCTCCCTGGCCTCTGCCTCTGAGAAGTCCATGCGAGGCAGGTGGTGGAAGGGAGAGGTGCAGGCGGGAGACACTAAGCTCAGCCCCTCTCCCCCAGTGTCCACAGGCTGCTCTCTGCCAGCCTGCTCACGCGTCGTACTTCTTTCCTGTCCGATGGATGTGCTGGAACAGGGTCATGGAGAAGGCCATGCCCAGGATCTGAAAGACAAGGAGAAGGGTCTTGGGGTCTTAATGGCTGCCCTGCAGCCTAGGCTCCTCCTCGGCTGCTCAAGTCTTGGGTGTCACCTGGCCCCTGGGGCAAGAGGTACAGCCACAGAGTGCTTGGAAAATGCTAAGGCAGGAGGAGACGGTGCAGAGGCGGAGCTGTGGGCCTGGAACACCGAGGTACCTCCCCACAGCTCCCTGGCCACGGACACACAGAGGCCAGTGAGAGGGGGGACGATGGGGAATAGTGCAGCTATTCCCATTTACTCTTAGTGCACTTATCTTTGGATGTGTGTTTTGGACATAGAGAATATGCCTGGACAATACTGGGGCTTGTTCCTGCTCCTCAACCTGAATACTGAAAAGGGTGGGGATCCAGACCCTTGCAGAGGCAGGGAGGCCAGGCACGGCTTTCTGTCACCACACTGAGGGTGCCCATGCTCAAGCTGTCCAGCAGTGAGCAGGGAGGGGCTTGTGCCTTCCTCTTGGGGCAAAGGCTGGGGAGCAACGGGAAGGCATGTGGGGAGGCAGTGCCCCCACCTGCCAGCCCCCAGTGCCCAGCACCATCCTGCTTGCTGGGTGCGATCTCACGCCAGAGCTCTGTGGCTGACAGTGGCCTTGGCTGCAAAGCGCAGGTGGGTGCAGACCCTAGCAGGCACCGATGGGCGGATGGCCTCTCTACACCCCTGCCCTCCTCTGCTCTCCATGGGATGCCCCTCCGTACCTGGATGATGAGGATGCACATCCCTACTGTGCCGAGTACATGCTTATTCTCGTCGAACCACATCTTCACCTTCTCGTAGCAGCCCTGGGGAGTGAGACACAGCACGGCCATGATGCTCCGGCCTGCCCTCCCTGCACCCCAGCCTTGCTGGCCTTGGTCCTGCTCCTCCCTGCATGCAGGTCCCCAAGGTGCACCCACAAGGCCAGCTGCACAGCCGCGGACCCCACAGTCCCTCCCCGACTTGCCCAACCGTAGGCCCAGGGTGCACTCAGATGCACAGGTGTGAGCAGGTACACACGCCCAACCTCCTGGCTTCTCCCCTCTCCTCCACTGTGGGCCACAACCTCTACAGCTCTCCTCCGGCCAGGCTGACGCCCACAGACCCCAGGCAGCAGCACTCAGCCTCACCGTTTTCCACACGGGGGTGGTGCTGTTCCGCCCACAGCCTTGGGAGTTCTCCATGCAGCAGCGGTCAGGCACTGTGTTCTCCCCCAGCACCGGGTACCAGTCTGTGGAGTCAGTGACCCCACAGCATCGCATCTGCCGGGTGAGACGGACAGGTGTGGTCAGCCTCACCGTGGCTGGCCCTGTCTTCCCAGGCCTCCCTGCCGAGGCCAAGCCCAGCCACTGAGGCAGCCACTGGAGCTCGGGGACCTTCTTGTCCCTTCTCTGGGAGACAAATGACTGCTCCTTCCTTGAGACCAGGGCGGAAGAGCAAGGCACGGCCCTCAGACTGTCAGGAGCCGGACAGCTCTGCATCCCAAGAGGCCGCCAGCCCCACTGCCCACTGCCTCCTGGGCACGTCTGGGAGAACCAGCCCACTTTCCTCTCCGATTCTCACTCACCCTACAGCTCCCTCTACTGGCCACGCCAACATGCAGTCTCGCCAGCCTCCCCTTGCCTCCTTGTCCCTTCCAGTGAACACCCCTAGGCTGGCACCCATAGCCCACCCACTCCCAGCAACTCACCTCAGCCTGGATAATGTTCCAGGCATTCTTGAGCCCCACATTGTTCTCGGTGTTGTAGAGAAGCAGCCCTTCCTTAAGGTCCTGCTTGGCGTTCTCATTCACCTGGATGGGTGAGGTCAGCACTGCAGGTCACTGGGGACCCCGCATGGCTCCTCCCTGACCCTGCCAGCAGTGAGGACTGTGGTGGTGCACGAGATCAGTGGGCCCAAGGAGGGGAGGCAGGGTGCGGTGCCCCCACCCACCCCAGCTCTGGCTGTAGCCTGCACTGATCACCAGATACCTAAGGCACAGCTCAACTCTACAGGCCAGAGCTCTGGTCCTACCACGTGGAAGAGACAGCCTGCCTCCTGCCTCCTGGCCCCAGGGGCAGCTATGTTGCTGGCCGCTCTGCCCTCCCCACACCTTCTCTGCAGACACCCTAGGACTGAGAGGGAGAGCATGGTGGGTCCGACCTCTGCCCTGACGTCCACCTCTCACCAATGAGTGGCATGGCAGCTCTCTAATCTCTGTTCCACCTGTGATACTGCAATAACAACATCTATACCTGGTGGAGACTTTGTGAGAATGAAAGGAAGCAGTTCCTATGAGCAGCCAAACACAGGGCCACACCGAGCAACCTCTCGATATGGCCACTTTGCTTCCCTTTCACAAGAACAGAACTGAAGACTCATGGTCTGGAGACCCACTGGTGCTTCTCGCTCTCTGGAGTCCAGGGCACAGAGAACTCTGGGCTGGCTAAGTCCTGAGGGCCCAAGAGCACGGCTGGGCATCCTTTGTAGTTACTCAGGTCTCCAAGGGTGGCACAGGCCCTTCTCGTTGCAAATGGGTCACTCTTAGATCACCCAGGGGTAACAGCAAGCACTAGTGAGGTTTGAATCTCCTCTAGATGGTTGCTACACACAGTTCCAGTGATGGAGAGCTCACCAAGGCCATCTCTGCATCATTTGGGCATCACGTTTCCCAAGACGGCATGAGGTAATGAACTCCTCCACTGTCCCCAAACCTGCCCTTCCCGCTGTCACCACCACATGTTCCCTCGCTGTAAAGCTTACCTTGTCCATGTAGATGAAGAAGAGGATAAGCAGGATCAGCTCTGCGAGGAGGATGATCAACAGGACGATGAAAAACTAGAAAGAAAAGGACCAGGCATATGCACAGGGTAGTGGCAATAGCCAGGGACAGAAATGGCAGGGGTAGGGTACAGGCAGCACCTGGCAGGGCTTTCCAGGCTGAGAGGCCCACTACTCCTGAGGAAACCCGGAGGGCCAGGGGCTGGGTGAGATCAGACACACAACATTCTAGGAGCGACTCCCCGGGCTAGGCTTGGGTCGGTGGTAACTGGTGTTCTGGGCTGTGCCCGCCTCAGGGACCCACCGACAGGGCAGTGCAGAGGGCCCTGGGCTTTGGGCGGGGGTCCAACTCACACTGAGCAGGAGGCACTTGTTTTCTTTGATGGCCCCTAGGCAGCCGAGGAAGCCTGTCACCATGATGATGGTGCCGATGGCGATGACGAGATTGGCCGCAGACAGTGAGGGGAAGCTGGGGGAGAAGGTGGCAAAGTTGCCCTGGGACACGGAGAGCCAGATGCCCACTCCAAGCAGCCCACAGCCGCAGAGCTGGAGAGAAAGGAAAGGGGTTAGACCAGCACTGTTCTCACCTCCAGTGCCTGGAACCTGGAAGACTGCACAGCCCTCACTTCAGCCATGGGACCACACGGCGAGAGCTGGGCCTCAGGCCCAGAGCAGATGACTGAGACAAAGCCTCCAACTCTCTGTGCCTCGGTCTCCCTATCTGATAAACAGGACTAGACCCACTTCATGAACCACACAGGGTCACAGCAAGGAGTCAGAGACAAGAGCACATAGCAGATGCATCGAAAGTGCGAGACACAAAGAGGCAGCTTCAAAGAAGAGGCCCAGCATTCAGGATGCAGGCCAGGGAGGGATTGGGGAGGGATAGCAAGTTAGGACTGGTCTTGGGGAGCAGAAGAGAATATGGAGCCTGCTTTCTCAGAGCCAGAACTTCCAGTGGCTGTGTCCCATTGCCCCTGTTCCAAGGAGGCTGAAGAACAAAGCCCACAGACGGAAGAAGAGGAGCACTTGTGGGGCTGGTGGAGGGGCTGGCTATGGTCCAGAGTGGGGAGGCCATGGTTGCCCTGGCCAGTGGCCAGCAGGAGAGGCTGAAGCCGACTCTCCTCTCAGCACCCTGGGCTCTGACAACGCTAGCTGCTCCACCAAGGGAAGCTCTTCTTTCATTGGCACAAACCCCACATCTGCCTATTTTATCCTCCATATAGCAGACCTGCTCTACTCCCTCCGCTGGCTCAGGGGAAGTGTGCTGCATCTGAGAAGCCAATCAGCCAGCCAGTATTTACCAAGTACCTACAGCATGCAGCATCCGGTGCCAGAGTAGCAACCATTACTTTAGAGACCTGGCTTCCAGGAGCCTCCGTTCTGGATGGACAAGGCAATAAAACCCCACATCCACCCCCACCCCCCCGGCAGGATGCACTGGAGCCAAATAAACGCAATGGCTATGACTCCCTGAAGCAAACACAGCCCCTGCGCTCTGGCTGCTCTGCTTGGAGAGAACACACAGATGTGCTAGCCTGAGAAGAGGCTGACCACACCCGGACAGAGGGCTCTGGAATCTGGAGGAGGAGCACATCTCCTGTGGGCACCTGGGTATGGAACGCAGGGCACACTGACTTGCGGCATGTGGGGAGGCTGCAGTGAACACTCAGCAAAGGCTCTGGCTTCATGCAGAGGAGCGCCTTGTGGGGACGCCAGTGTGACAGAGCGAGCGCTGACAGAACTGCAGGTGCTGATGTGACGCAGGAAGAGCAGTGAGGACCAGTAACTGGGGACAGGGTAGCCAGGGAAGTCCTCCTGGGAAAGGCAGTGTTAGACGAGGCACAAGGACCTGTACAAATATGTAGAGGTGCTCTAGAGGGAGTGCGGCAGGCACAGAAGCCTGGAGGTGGAAGGAGCCTGGCTGGCCAAGTGGCAGTATGGCTGCAACAAGCAAGTAAGATGACACGTGGTGGGGACAGAGAAGAGAGGGCCTGCAGGCAGGAAAATGTCCGAGTTGTGCCAGGGCAGGACAGTGACACAGTCTGGTTTCCCACACGTCACTGCAGCTGCTGTCCTAAGAGGAGAGCCCTGGAGGGGACAACAGGGCAGCCAGAGAGCAGTGGGCAGGACGGAGGTGGCAGCGCACAGTTAGGAAGGACAGCGATAAATGGTCCAGTGCAACATGTGGAGAGCTGACAAGGCTTCTGGGCTTCAAGGAATTAGCAGGATTTCGATCAGTGGGGAAGCAGAATGGTGGCCCAGACTACACACGAAAAAAGAAATGGTGAGAGATATTTGCATGGAGTAGGAAGCCAAAGAAAGCCAAGGAGCTATAGAAAATGAGGCTAAGTCCAGCATCTGTCAGATCCCCATGCTGCGGACAGTGGTCATGCAACTCCTCTGCCTGGAGCAGCCTTGGCTGGACGAGGTCAAAGGCAAGGCGTGGCATCTCCAGAGCGGGTGCATGCACTCAAGCGGCTCGGGAGCAGGTGCTGCTGCTTCTGCACTCACTAGGTGGCCCCTCAGCCTGCTTCAGAAGCTCTTTGGGTTCACCCATGACACGCTGAAATTTGCATTTCACTGACTTTCTTCAAATTCAGTCAGTTTCTATGCTGCCATCTCAATTTTTCTTTCATTAATCATAGCCTGGAAAATGCACATTCTTCAGGCTGAAGATTTATGGCTCTAAAAGTCAGACCTGGATTAAGTAAGTGGAAATTCTACTGCAGCAGGTACTTAAACAGGTACAGAAAGGAGCCTGGAGCTGCAGATCAACCTCACCTTGCCGCTGAGGCCTCTGCAGCCTTCTGCAGAAGCCACGGCTCCATGCGGACCAAGCTCAGCCCCTCCCAGGCTGGCCACCACCCCACTGCACTGCATGGATGAGGTCCATCCGTGAGCTTCCTGACACCCAGTACTGGAGCCTCCCTCCACTGTGAGGCAACAGAGCCAGGGCCCTGTTCCCACACCCGCTTCCTTCCTCACTTCCTGTGCAAGGCCCCACCAGGCCCTAGGTGAGAGCCAGGCAAAACCTGTTGCCTACAGGTATGTCAGCCCCTGTCACCAGCAGCCTGCTCCCAAGCCTGCCCAGTGTTCTGTTCTTCTCAAAGCCTTTGTACGCATTCCCTGCCGCTCACGAGGCCCTCCTACAACTTCAAGGCACCCTTTACAATGTCTGCTCAGTGCCAAGGCCTGCCCGGCACACCCCACTGCCACATCCCGTACCCTGGGGTCTCCTGCTGGGAGGAACCCTCAATGCCAGCTTCAGATGACCCAGCAGAGCCTTTAGTCAAGAAGAACACACAGACCAGAAGAGGAAACCAGGGCCAGGGATTTAGCTCAGTGGTTCCACTGCCTGCCTCGCAAGCACAAGGACCAGAGTTTGATCCCCGGTACCAAAAAAAAATACCAAAAAGATCTCCAAAAACACAGATGAGGAAACCAAGCGGGGACGGGTGGTTGGTCCCTGGCCACAGTGCCAGGTTGGGATAAGTCCCAGCCTCCTACATTTGGGTGCAGATTCTTCTACACCTACTTCCCAGGAGACCTGTGAGTTTGGAGTCTCCTGCTGACAAGTGACAAGGGACAGACAGGCACCAAGACATCTGCCTCAGCCCCAAGCCCCTACCCAAGGGGCCCTGCTGCTCTTACTACCTCTGTTTTCAGCTCAGCCTGCAAAAAGCTGCCTGAATCCTCTTCCGAAACGGCTCTTTCATCATGCAGCTCCCTGGTGTGACCTTAGGATTCTGGAGCTCTCCCAGGGCCAATTTCCCTTAAACTGCAGGATCTGGCCTGGTCCCTGCTCCAATCCCTTCCAGCACAGTCCTCGCCATGCCTAAGGGATGCCGCTCTTGTTCACGGGCCAGTAGTTCTCAACCAGAGGAGATTTTGATCCCCAGGAAGTCACAGAATATCTGCAGACACCTCTGGTTGTCACAGCTGATGAAGGGGGAGTCCCTGGCATGCAGCGGGTGGAGGCCAGGGATGCTGCTCACCCCACAGTGCTTAGCATGAACCCTGCAACAGAGAACTCTGTGGCCTCAAACATCAGTAGAAGCTGAGAGACCTTGCCCTGGGCCTATCCTCATGCCAGGCACCATGGCCCCTGGAGAAGGGCCTGGCATGGTCCCTGGGGCGGCTGAAGGCAGTGCTGGCTCTGGAAGGGACGGCATCAATGAGGGAAGTGCTCAGAGGCCTCCAGCAGAGCTAGGCAGGCTGAGCACAGGCCTGGCCGGTGGCAGTGAGCAGGAGGGAGGCAAGGCAGGAGTGACAGGGAAGAGGGAAGCAAAGCCTGGGGATGGCACTGCCAGCGCTCGGTATGGAGAGCTCAGCTGGTGCCATTTGGGGAAATTCCCTTCCAAAACCGGAGGGCTGTCTCAGCAGAGATAACCGAGCTACTACTGAGCTCAAGGCTGAAGAATCTGGGGCAAGGCAGGGTGACTCAGGAGATCAGGACCCAGCCAACCAGAGGTCATAGGTGCCCTGGTGTGGCCTTCTCTGAGAAGGGACAAGCTGAGGCTTCCTTGCCCCTTACCCGCTCCCCAGCTGAGGCATTTCAAAACAGCTTCAACTTTGCAAGCGCAAGGTCCCAAGTTCGATCCCTGCTACCCAAAAAAACAAAAAAACAAAAAAACAGCTTCAACTCAGGGCTCCAAACACAGCCACACCCAAATATAGACAGACGACCTGCTGCATATGTCCATGGCCTCCAGGTAGCTCAGGCTTTGGATGTGTGCTGTCTGAGGGCTACCTATGGCTTGCAGGAGAAGACACAGGCCTGTTGGTATGGACAGAAGCCCTCAGGCCCACAGGCCACGCAGGGTCCTCCTCATCTCCTGGGCCACTCCACACATGCACAGCAAGGAAGCTGGGGCTCAGAGAGGCCCTAACCTATCTCAGGCCAGCTCTCCACAGCCTCGCATTTACTAAGTTAGTGCTACTCAGCCTGACATCCCCGTGGCATTGCTCCTTGTCTTCAGTGTGAACCATACTGACTTGAAGCTTTGATGTGTGCTCCTGCCATGTGTCTTTACACTTGTCTGCATAGGGCACATGCTCCTCTAGGGCTGGGCCCACAGTTCCCCTCATCACCCCACTTCCTCCCACATGAGTGACCTGGGCCAAGGTGAGGCCACAGCGGCACCTCGAGGGCCTCAAGCTCTGTGCAGACTTGCTGCCCAACCTCACAAAAAGATGCGCTCTTCTGGAGCCAGGCTCACAGCCTATCTGTGCTCCCACCACAGGGCCTAGAACATGCCTGGAATACTGAATATCTGTCCAACGAATGAATGGGTGCATGGGTGAAGAAATGAACCAGCAAGGAGACCAGACCAGACACTCATGGCCACTTGAAAAAGAGCCACTGCGCACCCCATCCTACCCAGGGCCCCTGTCACCCACCTGAGCTCCTCCTGACCTGGTGTGAGCCACTGCTCGCCTGCCCAGCCCCACCAGCCCCACTATGCCCTCTGGCCACGCTAACCCCATGCTGTCTGCTGCAGCAGGGCCCACCAGGCCCTGGGGTCAGAGGTCACAGTGTCCTT